CCCCGCCACACCTCGAGCGACGAGGCAGCGCCCCCTCTTGCGCATACGCAGCGGCAAGGCCCAGCACGCCCCACCCCCCTCTCCTCTACCTCCCCAGGCGCGAGCATCGCCAGCCGGGTGCTGCAGTCGCGGGCGTTTGTGGCGGCGTCCACCGTGGGCGTATACATACACTGCGCCAGGCTGCGGGAGGTCGACACCATGGCGGTGCTGGGGGCCGCTCTAGACGCAGGTGGGGCGGGCGAGACCACGCGGGTGCAGCGGGCAGGGCTGGGCCCGGCGCGGCAGGGCGGGGGATCATAGCGGGGTGGGGCGGGGCGAAGTGCCAGGACAGGCAGGGGCATCAGAAGGTGGTGCCGGGACGATTCAAGGTCCGGGCAAATGCAGGCCAACGGATTGTGGCGGCTCCGCTGCATGGCGGCTGCCGCCGGCGTCGAGAGCGGCAAGACCAATGGCGCCAGGGCCGCGCAAGTTTTTGGCGGCGAGCGCGCTGCAGCTTTCTGAGTGCGTGCTGTCTGCTAGTGAACGGATGCCCTGCAATTCCACCCCAGGCAAGCGGGTGTATGTTCCTCTGGTGGATGACCGCGACTCCAACATGAGACTGCTGCACATAGGTGGGCTGCAGCCCGCAGGCACCTCTCATCATGTCATGCAGCTCATGGGCGCGTCGCGTCAGTCAATACAGCTATCAGCACCGTGGGCCGCGCAAGAGCCGACCCGCAGCGGCAACAAAGGAGATCCGTCGTCCCCAGCGGCGCGCATGTCACGCGCCCGCACCCACCTTGCTGCATGCCCCCGCTACCATTGCCGAGTGATCCCGAGCTTCGTGCCGGGAGTAGCCTGCAGCCATGGCATCATTGCGGCGGCACGCGACTCGACGCCGCCTCTCCTGCAGAGTCCCTAGCCGACATGGCGCCCGCGCCGCCGTTTGGCATACTGGAGCCGTCAGCCACGTACGCAGACGGCAGCCCCCGGGAAAGCGGTGCGCTGCAGCAGGCGGTCCCCGCCCCGCAGGCTCGAACCGCACAGCAGGGATGCTTGTGGAGATATGCATTGGGGTTAAGGTGGGGCGTAGACATTGCTGACCGGCTGCAGTCGCTGACCAGCCCTGAAGATGTGGTGTGAGTGGGGCCGCTGTGCATGCACGCGAGCATGGAGGCCTGCGCCCCTCTCCCTTGCGCCCCTGACCCTCGCAACCATCGGCTCTGCGCTGGCAACCTGCCCACCTCTGATCCAGCCATGCATGCTCGCCCCCCCCCCCCAAAAAAAATCCTTTGATCCCAACCCCCAGTCCTGGACATGGACCGCCCCCTTGACCTGCTGCTGATGCCGGGGCTCGGGTTCGACGAGCAAGGCGGGCGGCTGGGGCGCGGAGGAGGGTGAGCACACCCGTCCACTCCAATCTGTTTTGGCAGCTTTTGGGCCCGTTGGTACAACCCCAGCACCATGCCAAGCCCTCTTCACACGCAAGTGTTGTCGTGTTTCACGACGCGACACCCCCCCTTCCTCCTCTCCATGTCGTCCTTGGTGTCAGCGGCGCCGCCTTTTCTGTGCCCAGCCGCGCCCAGCCTGACAGCCAACCTTTGTTCTGGCGACAGCTTGACTGGACACGGTGCAAAGCGGCGTAACTTACCCATTCAAATGAACAAAAATAACACATACACACATGCACACACACGCACACACACACACAAAGAAACAAACACAAGCACACAAATCCTGCCAAACCTGCCTCCCAGCTACTACGACAAATACGTCCGGCGACTCACAGAGCGCTCTGGGGAGCGCGGCTGGCGGCGACCCCTGCTGCGTGAGCACACCACCTCACGCGCCACACTGGCGCTGCCCTGCGCCCTGTGCTCGCAGCACAATTGCAACCTGCTCTCTTTGCACCCGGTCCATCCTGCATGGCATTCGCCCATCAACCAGGATACTCACCAACACCAACACACATGCGCGCGCACACACACACACACACACACACACACACACACGCTCACACGCGCGACCTGCACGCCCCACCCCGCGTGCAGTGGCCCTGGCATTTGACGAGCAGGTGCGCCCCGAGGGCGTCCCCATGGCGCCCCACGACCAGAGGGTGGACGCGCTGGCGACGCCGGGCGTGCTGCGTCTCTGCAGCGCCGCGGCGCGTGCGGCGGAGGCCCCAGATGCGTGACTGGCGCTGGAGGGCGGGGCTTCGCTGCGGCCGTTTACAGGGACGCTCAGGAGAAAATACAGGCGGCCAGTACAACAATGACCTTCAATTGTTTATTTTTTTGTTTGCACTATTTGTCGCTCAATTCTTTTGTGGTGTATCTATGCTGGGGTGTTATTGCTAGCAGGTGTAGCACTCGATTGTCAGGTGGCACACTGTGCGCACGCCGTCGCAGAGCGTCCTGTGATGCGTCAGCTTTCTGTTACTCACCCATTTTCGGGGCGG